CGGGAATGCGGGAGGGAGCAGAGAGGCACTCAGAGATAGCGTCCTGCAGTTTGGTCTTCTGTCTAGCGGAGAGTCTAAAGACACCGTGCATAGTGTCAATGATAAACCCTAGGAACTTAGCAACAAAGCTCTGGTGCAGCTGACACTTGTCCTGAGCTAAGACGAAGCCAGCAGCAGCGAAATCAGCTAAGACCTGAGCCTGTGCTTGAGTAAACTCCTGAGCTGAGCTAGCGAAGAAGATGAAGTCGTCGATGTAGGGAATCAGACGAATGCCAAGCCTACGCCAACGCTGAACGAGCTGTTTGATGATCTTAGTGAAAACGAAACAGGCTGTGGCGAGACCAAAGGGGAGCTGACAAAAGACGTAGAAACGGCCTTCCCACTCGAATCCAAAGTACTGCCAAAACTCTGGATGGATGTCGACGTGGTGGTAACCAGACTTTAAGTCGACTGTGAACAGCAAGTCACGAAGCTTGCAGAGAGTGCTAACTTCCTTAATGGATTCATACTTGAATTTATCGACCTGAAGGAAGCTGTTGACATAACGCAGATCAAGGATAAGACGCAGCTTGTCTATTCCTTTAGGTACAACTCCAAGCGGACTAACTATGAAGGGTTTACTGAAGACCTCCATTGCAGCTCCAGTCAGAACAAGAGTCGAAACAGCCTCGGACACGAATGCAGAGTGCTCACGAGCTGAAGGGTGATTCGCAAAATGGCGAGGACCAGCAGGAGGGCCATCAGACCAGGGGAGTTGATAACCAGAGGTGATGATGGAGAGGACGAAGACGGAGGTGCAGAAAGTCTTCCAGAATGCCAGCTTGTCGCGAAGGCGATTGCGTAGCCAGGGTTCAGCAGGCTGAGGTTGGCCAGAGGAGGAAGCGGAGGGCTGGGGGGGGTCCCGAAAACCCTCGAACTCGGAAGACTCAGTGAGATCTGACAGCATGTGGAGAGAATCAGATTCCACTGCAGCAGGGACAAAATCAAGATGTCAGTACCAGGTTTGGAAAGGGAAGAAAACACACAATTGAGAAGGAACAGCAGAATAGGGATGAAGAATTGCACGAGCAAGCAATAGATTCACCAAACCTGGTTCTTGAGCGGGATTTTCCTCCTCCGTTAAGAGGATCGAAGCCGCAATCGTCATGACCTGGAATGGAGGGACATGAGCGAAAAAACACCAACAGGGTAAGAGGAGAGGTTCAAGTCACACCCGATTTGAACATTCCAAAAAGGAAGAATGGTGTGATCATCCTAACCCCGATCACAAAAACTTCAAGCCGAAAGAGTTTCTGAACCTTCACATCCTAGCTTGGGAGAGACCCCCAGCAAAAGGAACATCATTAACTCAAAGGAAAACTAGAATGGATCAGAATAAAGAACTGGACTAGCGGTGCTAACTTCGTTAGCAACCAGTTCATTCAGCATTTCCCAGGAACAGAAAACCCTAGAGAAAGCATAAGAACAGAGAACATGCACGAACCACCAGTGAAGGACAACTTCGAATGAGGCCTGGCGTGCAGCCAGCCTACGGACAGCGTCCGTGCTCCCAGGACAACTGGATACAACCAGAGTTCATTACGTCCTAACTCATCTCGGGAGTCTTTTCTCTCTCATCTTTTCTCACTCCTCCTGAAGTAAACTTATGGAGCAGAAGACTGGAGTTCCTAGACATTCTGTCGAGCAGCATTGACTACACTTCCTGACTTAGCAGTGCAGAAGGCAGCAATATGACCCATGGCTCCGCAGGTATAGCAAGGACCCTTCTGATGACCACCATGCTGGGAGAAACCCTGGTTGAAGCCACCAAAACCTGAATGGAAACCTCCAGAGAAGCCACCCCTGCCACCACTGAACCTCCTGTAACCACTCGAGAAACCACCACGAAAAGAACCCCGAAACTTTCTGCCAGACTTCTTCTTGTCCTTGGCCTGCTCGTCAGCCTTCACAGCCTTGCGCGCCTTCTTCACTTGAGACTGCAGGTCCTCAGGGAGCTTGAGCAAAAAGGAATCCTCCTCAACCTTCTTGGCAACAGACCAACCCTCGGTTTCAGCAATTTCGAGAAACTGCATGCGATCTGTGCAAAACTTAATACCTTGATCCAGGTGCTCGCGCAGCTGCTCCGCCTGTTCAGGACCAATCGGCTCAGCCTCCCCCTCAGCCACAGCAGCCAGAGAAGAATTGACCTCGTGCATGCGCAAAGAAGCCTCCTCGATAGGAACATACTGCTTGCGGATTCCTTCGTTCTTGATGGCCTCAGCCTTGCGTTTCTTGGCGTCCAGAGATGATCCAGAGACAGAGTCTTGAACGGCAGAGAGCTTCTTCTCGATCCTCGAGGCGATGCGGTCTTCGAACGTCGAGAAAAGGGCCTGGATCTGGGAGCCACTGAAAGTGCCTTCAGGGGTTTGCTGAGAAGCGCCAGGCTGTCGAGCATGAGGAACAGGAGGAACGTGAAGGCCCTGAGGACCTTGAGCAAAAGCGCCTGTCTGGAAGCCTGGGAGACCATCCTGAAGCCGAGAAGCGCCCGAGTTGTTCATTCCTGCTGATTGAAGACCATCCTGTTGGCCAGTCGGATCCACACGGAGGGGGCTCGAGTTGAACAGGTTGGCGAAGTCGAAGTCGGGCTCTGGAGGATCAGTTTGAGTTGCAGCAGCGCTGGCCATGACGACTTCGGAAAGTAGACGAAGGTGAAGCGAGCAGGAAGCACACTAGCAGAACAGAGGTACGAAGAACAGAGAGCACTAGGCCATGCACGGATGCATGGGGAACGAAGACGAAGGGGAAAAGGGAAGCAAGATCAAAGAAGCGGAGATCGGAAGCGGTGTCTGTGGAAGGTGCACAACGCAGAATGAAGAATGAGCACGTGAAGTGCTCGAATTTATAGCTTCGAAAAGTCGAAGCTGATTGGCTGCTGCTGACGCGGCAGCGCAGCGCGCATGGCGCGCTCGAATTCGGTTTGAATTCCGGTTCGCGGCAGAGAACCGAAATTCTTCGCTAATTACAAACGCGAAGAATTTACAA